ACCCAACTCATAGCGACCCCTCCTTGGGTTTCCGAGGCAGTATCACTACGGAAGTAGGATTGCCCAACCTTCCTTCCGAGGAGTGGCTGGCATACACTGCTAGTGGGACTATAATATGATACAACCATTGTGGAAAGCAGTATGGCTATTCCTTAAAAAGCTGGAATTAGAAATACCATTTGACCCAGCAATTCCATTACTAGGTATGTATTTGTGGTTGTTACGTTTGTGTGTCAACTTGGCTGGGCCTAGTTGAGTGGCTGGGCAGCTAGTGGTAGTTACTCCCCATGATGAGACTGGCAATCAACCCCATGGTGGGATCTACCACAAGGAGCTTAGTAGCTGGCTTTGGGATATGGTCTGCTTCCTGTATATAAGAAGAAGCCTTGGGGATAGTCTCTAGCTTATGGCACTCTTGAACCCTGCATGTAGCTCTGTCGTTGCTTAGCAGCCTGCCATGCTCTGCTGACCTTGGGACTTTCAATGGACTTGAATTAATGGCCCCTCATGTGGTTTGGTAACATCAGGAGTGTGTCATTTTATTTGTTGACTTTGGGCTTGTTATCCTCAGCATCCAGTAGCTGCCTGAGTGAAGAGATGTCTCTAGCTTCAGTTGGCCGGGAGCAAGAAGCAGAGCTGAAGCCCAAGGTCGAGGGGCTTTCACACAGCCCCTAAAGCCTGGCACTCTGAACTTGGACTTCTAGCCTCCTAAACTGTCAGAAAATAAACTCCTGTTTGTATCACCCCATTTTTGGTATATTCTTGTCATAATGGTACTAGGTAACCAGAACAATATCCTAAAGAAGTGAGAGCCAGGAAAAGAACAGATAGATGCATACCCATTTTGATTGCAGCATTATTTACAATAGCAAAAAGATGGAAACAACCCAAATGCCTATCAACAGAAGAATGGATAACCAAACTATGACACACACACACAACGGAATACTATGCAACACTAAAGAATAATGTAGAATCTGCAAAACACTGCATAACAAGGATGAACTTGGAGGACATTATGCTGAGTGAAATAAGTCAATCACAGAAGGGCAAATATAGTATTAGTTTATTATTGTAAGAAGTCAAGGAAAGGTTCATAAATGGAAGGAAACTTTCTTTGTTGGTTACCATGGGTTACCAGGGGAGGGGAAGGAACACTGAAAAAAAAAAAAAAAAAGCATTGACCCATGTTACTTTAGTTTTGTGTATTTCACTGTACATATATTATATTTCAATAAAATGTGTTTTTTAAACAGAAAAGTTAAGGAAAGATTTAAATATGGAAGGAAACTTTCTTTGTTGGCTACCAGAGGTGGGAGGAGAGGGGCAGAACACTGCTAGGTAGAGACAAGTATTGATTTGGGTGAAGGGAAGGGCAATGCACCAAATGTGAGTGATCAACATGGTGGCACTAAGGAAGAGGGACATAGAGAGGTGCACGAGAGGTACAGAAAACAAAGATGAACCCTTTTGCACATACGGTACTGCAGTGATGGCAAATATTGATCTATGGTTGGATAGATGGATGGACAGGCTGAATGATCAGGTATTTCTGTGCAGCGGAGGTGTGCCCGTGACCATGTATAAGGTTGGTAGATGACATTTCTACAAGTGTATTTGTATGTTCTGTAAGAATATCCAGGTATATAATAGAGCTGACAAGGGACAAGGTTGTAGTCACTTCTTGGCCATAGCCAGCTACCCAGAGGGATCAAGTAGTTGGACCTGTGGGCGAGGGATCACGGTTGTACGGGACATCAAGCTCAATGGCATAACATACTACACAAAAATATTGTTCATATCCTATTTTGGCAAGCAGTGACTGGGATCATAAAAGCTTGCAAGCGGCCATCTACATGCAGTGATGGGTCCCTCCTTGTCCAGAGCAAAGAAGAATGAAGAAAACCAAAGACGCATGGAAACAATTAGTCCAAGGGACTGGTACACCATGTGATCCTCAACCTATATGACTATGAGCCCAGAAGAACTAGATGATGCCCGGCTACCACTGCAACCACTCGGAGAGGGATCTGTGTAGGAGATCTGTGTAGGAACAAAGTTCAAAATCATAAAAAAAAAAAAGGACCATGTTTGTTGATCTGATAGAGCCTGATGGTACCACTGAGACTATGGCCCCTAATTGCTCTTCAGGTCTGGAATTGAACCCACTCCTCTGGCTTCCAGCCAAACAAAAGACAGGCATATGAGCTGAATATTTACATCAGGTAGATACACTCCTTGGACAGATCAATCATGGGAGAACAGAAGAGCTGTGTATGCACAGGGAGACAGCTTAGGGGGCAGGAGTGCACTGAGGGAAGGACACCGGAAGAGGTAACTACGTGGAGGATGTGGAAAGAGAGCTGTTGCGAAATTGCAGTTAATGTCATGAAACAAAGCATATGTGAACTGCTGTATGGAAAATGAATTTGCTCTATAAATTTTCACCCAAATTACAATAAAATCTTTAAATAAAAAGCAATATGGGAAGTAAAGCAGCCATCTTGTGACTACAAACTGATAAGAACAAGGAAGAAAGCTAAGACTGGCTGAGTGAATAACAAGACGGAACCCAAGTTAGTGATGGCATAATGGAGCCTTTGTATCAGCTCTGAACCACCTACGTCTGAACTTCCTGCTGCATAAGACAAACAAAGCCCCCTTTGGCTAAAGATGGATCTTTGTTACATATAGGCAGATGCAATTTTTAACGTATAGGATTCATGTACCATCTTACAAATGTTCAGGATTAAGGGAATCAAAACTTGCTGACAGAGAATTAAAACATGAAGATCTTAAGGCCCTACTAAAATTTTTATTCCTCTTATTATCAATTACTAAGTAACAGTAGGAAATTCAACTCCAGGAGAATGTAGAAGCATAGCCCCAAAGATCTCATGACATGTTCTGTCAGGCTGAAGAATCAGACCAGGATTTTTTTCATAGTCTTGCTTTTTTAATTAAAAAATGTGGTTATATATATTTATATACATTTATATACACATATATAACAAAAAAATTTGCCATTTTAACCATCTTGAAAAATTTATATTGTGGTGACATTTGCCATAAACAAAACATTTGCAATTTCAGCTATTTTTGTGTGCACAATTCAGGGACATTAATTATATTCACAATATTGTGCAACCATCCCCACAATTTCCAAAAGTTTTTCATCACCCCAAACAGAAACTCAGTACCCCTTAAGCAATAACTCCCATTTAATCGTGTTTCTTTTAGCATAGAAAGAGCAGTTAACATTCTCAGAAGAGTCAGATTCATAGGAGGCCAAGGGAGACACTGATGAACAACTGCCTATGAAAGCTTCCTTTGTTTAAACACTCATTTCCAAACAGCACACTCACCCTTCTGGATGCTGCAAAACAGAAACCATCAACTCCACTGCCAGGGCTCCTGCAATCATGGCCAGTCCTGGGCGGCTCACAGTGCACTGCTGGTCTAAGGTCCGGTCTCTGGTTGACTGCAGAGAGACAATCATTGTCATATAATGAAATCTCCATTCTGCTGAACTGTAGCTTCTGAACATGAAGTGTCTCCATGGTAAAGCTATTCAATATAAACAAATGCTCATCTTTGCAAAGAACACCCAGCCTGAAATAATATTTCTTGGGAGTATCAGTAAAAAACAAGATATACAATTTAGGTGGTTAAATGAGGCAATATGCTAAAGAGGATTAGCAGCTATGAATAAATTAAAGATTGAGGGGACATCAAACAAAAATGATGGCTTGGGTGCATAATACAGTGGAGCTGCAGCATATGCTCCTTTAACTAATGCAATTCCGCTCTTATGTGCTCGGCAGTTAAGAGAGGCAAAGGGAGGAAAAATAAACTGAGGAGCACAGGTGATTCTGGCCTGCCATTCTAATTAAGGAGTTAATGCCTCAGAGTAGGGGCTAATTTGCTATTCCTGAAAGTCTTCCATTCCTGTGTACCTCTGACAGTGTGGGCATCTCATCACCCTCAGTATGATCCTAAGGCTTAAATGCTCCTTAAAAACATGGCTGGAAAGACTTTGGCTTGCTTACTTGGGACATGTTATCAGAGAAGACCAACTGCTAGAAAAGAACACCATGTTTGGTAAAGTAGAGGGCCAATAACGAAGAGGGAAACTTTTAATGAGGCAGATTGACACAACAGCCACAACAATGGACTCAAAATCATGAAGATGGTACAAACCCCGGCAATATTTTCTTTAGTTACACGTAAGGTTAAGGATCTCTGGTGGTACAGTGCCTAAGGCATCTGACTGCTAACCGAAAGGTTGGCAATTCAAACCCATCAGCCAATCCCCAGAAGGAAAACAGGGCAATCTACTTCCATAACGATTTACTGCCTTGATAACCCAATGGGGGTCACTATGAGTCGGAATCAACTTGATGGGTTTAGCTTGGTTTATACATAAAGTCACTGTGAGCTGGAGCCCACATAATGGCAACTAACAACAACAACTTTTCCTACAATGTGGTTCTTCAACATAAGCCTTCTTTAGTTCAACCAAAGAAAATCCAAACTTCCAACTCTGGACAAACTAAACAGTGATTAGGAATAATTTTGACTTTGAAAATTTTGTCTTGTGAACAGATGTGACTTTACTATAATTGATCCTTAATCCTACCTGTTGACAAACAAAAGAACAAGACCAGCTGTAGATATAGATAGTTTAAGGCTACAGAATCTTCCATTTGTGCCATGTCCTGCTTGCAGTTCAGAGAACCTTCACATTGACCCACCCTACACTGTGATTAATGAGCCCTGGAGGGACAATGATTAAGTGCTCGACTGCTAATAAAAGGTTGGCTATTTAAACCCACCCAACAGCTCTGCGTCAGAAAGACTTGGCAATTTACTTCCATAAAGATTATGGCCAAGAAAACCCTACGGGACAGTTCTGTTCTGTCACATGGGGTTGCTATGAATCAGAACAGACTCCATGGAACACAACAACAACACTGTGACTTGGCAGGGCAAGTATCCTTCCCTCCCTTACTAAAGTTGCCGGATAACTACAAGATGCGCAATTAAATATGAATTTTAAACAACTAATAAATTTTTCAGTATACGTAGATCTCCAGTATTGCTTGGGACATGCTTATACTTGCTTATACTTATAGAGAAACTATTCACTGCTTACCTGAAATTCAAAGTTAACTGGGCATCCTATGGTTTTATTTGCTAAATCTGACAACCCTATCCCCATTTTGCAGAAGCATAGGGAGCCTGAGACACTGATTTGGAATTCTCAGTGAGGCAGGTCCAAGTCCAGCCTAGAAGCTGGGTCTTCAGACTCTTCATTTAATGCTTTCTTCACTAATATAAGCACAGAAGACAATGCTGAGTGCTACTGGGGACCAGTCTATCCTGCAGTTTCCGTGCTGAATTTTTCCCCAAAATGGTTTGTATCTGCATTTATAATGGTAAACAGTGAAAAGCTGCACACAGTTGATGATGCCAATCAAGGCTTATGGTGGGATAATGTCCTCCCCAGAGAAAGATAAATTTCTCTTTGTTAGAAGACAATATAGTAGTCATAAACGAAAGAGCTAGGTCTCTTTGCCCCCAGTGAACAAGACAGCCTTAGGAAATAAGTGGAACCACAAAGAAATCCACTTACATCTCCTGGGGCCACCACATCATTACAGAAATAGCAGCCAAGTTTGTAGCCAGGGATGTTGGCAAAAAGGGATGAGCCTAGGAGGTCGGCAGATGCCGCAGGGTGGCTGGGACACAAGTCTCCAGCTCCCTGCTGCTTAGGTTTCTTCAGGCCATGTCTCATGACCACAAATGTGTCAAATCCCAAGGCAGCATTGATGACCAGCTACAGGTTTCAAGAAATAAAAGAAAATGGTTAAATTAAGAGACATAGATATTTCAAGCTAAGGCTAATTTCACATCGCATCAACTTTTCTTATTTATTTTGTAAGTATTTACATATGTATATAACTAGACTCTAGAAGCTAGAGATAAAAGCTACTCAACACTGAGGGCTTATTAAATGTAAAAGAGGACAAGTGATTTGTGCAAATTATCTCATTGGATTTCATTTTTAAATGAAACATTGCCCATTTACAAATGAGGATAGGAGAATAGAAAAGTCAGGTCTATAACTTGCCCAAGTTACTTAGCTGGTAAAAGGAAGAACAGATGTATAAAATCAAGTCTGTACAGTTCTCAAGCCCATTCTTTGCACAATTATGCTATACTCTGTCATGTCCACAGTTTTACATTCTTTTAAAATTATAGCTTTAGTGACTTGTATAATTCACATACTATACAATTCATCCCTCCCACATAATTTGTGTGTGTGTGTGTGTGTGTGCAAGTTTACAGAGCAAATTCACTTTCCATACAGCAGCTCACATACACTTTGTCTGATGACGTTGACTACAATTTACCCCAATGCAACAGCTCCCCCCACTTCCTCCCCATAGTTACCTCTTCCCTGTGCCCTTCCCTCCATGCACTCCTGCCCTCTGAGCTATGTGCCTGTGTATACCCAGCCTTTCTATTCTCCCATGATTGTTCTCTCCAAGGAGTGTATCTACCTAATGTAAATGTTCACCTCATATGCCTGTCTTTTGTTTGGCTGAAAGCCACAGGTGTGGGTTCAATTCCAGACCTGAAGAGCAGCTAGGGGCCATAGTCTCAGTGGTTCCACCAGGCACTATCAGACCAGCAAACCCGGTCCCCTTTTTTTCTTTTTTTTAATGATTTTGAGTTTTGTTCCACATGATTCTCCTATGCTATCCAAGATTTCCTACATAGATCCCCCTCCGAGTGGTGAGTGGTTGGCAGACTCCCATATAAATTTTAAAAGTACCTTTTTCATTTAGACTATAAGAACTTTGCTTAGTTGAAATTTAACTTTTCCTCTGCAAAAACTGATCACAATTCCACAATTCAAACAATCACTATGAACACTTTGGAATATGTCTTTCTGTTATTTTCTCTCTTTTCCTGCCTTTTTCCTTGCACTCCCCTCCCTTCTTTCTCTATTTCTCTCTCACTCTCTCTCTATACACACACACACACACACAAACACACAAACATAATTGATACGAGTATGATATTGTGCCTTACTTAATATGTGGTCTTTCCGTATCATTACAATGCTTTTAAAACATGATTGTGAATGACTACATACTACTCAGGCCTCTGGATGGTGCGAACAATTAGCACTTGTGGCGTGGTGCCTAAGTCATTTGACTGCTAACCAGAGGCTAGTGGTTCAAACCCACCAGCCACTCCTCAGAAGGAAGGTTGGGCAATCTACTTCCATAGTGATACTGCCTCGGAAACCCAAGGAGGGGTCGCTATGAGTCAGTCCGACTCAACAGCAGTGAGTGTGGTTTGTTGTTTTTCTAGTAACCTAAAAGTTGGCAGTTCAAACCCACCCAGTGGTGCTGCAGAAGAAAGGCCCCAAAGCCTGCGTCCATAAAGATTATAGCCAAGGAAAACCTACAAGGCAGTTCTACTCTATAACACAAAAGGTCACCATGAGTTGGGAAATCAACTCGACTGAAACGGGTTTGTTTTTTAGTTTTATATACTATTCCACTATGTAAATGTACCTTGATTCATTTAACCATTCAATACTGCTAGTTGCTAAAGTTGTCACTGAGCAAAACCAGTGAATAAAACAAAGACTTTATCCTCTTGGAGCTTACATTTTAGTGTTAATACACCTTGTAAGTGTAGTGTCCCTCAAATGATTTCATGAAAATTGAACAGCAAACAATAAATATTATATTGGATGATGGTGTGTGAAGCAAAAACAGGGTCTGAGGTGGAAGCCCTTTGTCACCATGTGACCAGATCACCCAAATTATACCTCTTTTTTGGGGGCAGGGAGGACTGGGGATACTTTTTTAGGATGATGGTATGTGAAGTCACAGGCAGAGATGACAGCCTTAGGCTCCACATACACTACCTTTCTCTTGCTTGCAGCAATGACAGCAGGAAGCCACCGGCTCTCCCTGGTGTCCATCAACAGGAAAATGACATCATGGTTTTCAATGAGCTGTTCCAGTTGCTCCACATCCTTATGGGCTTGCTCCAGGGTGATGTTGGAGAAGTTCACTGGATGTCCAGGCATGGGGATGCTCATATTGAACCCTCTGGCATTCTAAAGGAAACACTCAGATGCATTTATGTCTGAAGCAAAGACACAGGCTATATCTCACAACCCATGTTTCCCCATAACTACAAGCAGGTACATGTGGCCACTTATAACCAGAAATTACTCTGTGCATGATTAGGCTGCTTTTATCTATCCTACACATACCCTCAGTTTCTTTACCTCTGTATCTATCTATACCACCTTGCACTCTTACCACTCCCACACTCTACCCCCCCCCAAAAAAAAAACAAATTCACTGCCATCAAGTCAATTCTGACTCATAGTGACCCCCTTTGGGTTTCCGAGGCAATAAATCTTTACGGAAGTAGAATGCCCCATCTTTCCACAGAGTGGCTGGTGGGTTTGAACCACTAACCTTCTGGTTACCAAGCAAATGCCTTAGGCACTGCACCACCACAGCTCCTTGCACTCTCACCCCAAACCAAAACTAAACCAAACTCACTGCCATCGAGTCGGTTCTGACTCATAGCGACCCCTTATTGGGTTTCCGAGGCAGTATCACTACGGAAATAGATCGCCCAATCTTTCTTCCGAGAAGTGGCTGGTAGATTTGAATGCCAGCCTTCTGGTTAGCAGTCAACTGCCTTAGGCACCATGCTACCAGAGCTCCCACTCTCACCCCAGGGCACCTGAAATAGGTTAAAGCAGCAAGCAGGGAAATATTGATCCCAGTTTCAGAGTAAGAGTGGGTCACTTCCCATTTAGACAAGAAGAAAATTGTATCTTTGGTTCTTTCCTACCATCTGAGGCCAAGAAACTTCATCACAATGCCCTCTGACTACCTGAGTATCCTCTTTCAAGCCTGGCCACCTTTCCAAAACTGCCCTCCCTTCCACTCTCCTAGTTATCACAAAAATAATTTGATTTAATAAATTCATATAATATTGGAATGACTGATGTTGTTGGTGTTGTTGTTATGTGCTGTCGAGTCAGACCCGACTCACAGTAACCCCTTCTTGGGTTTCTGAGGCAGTATCACTATGGAAGTAGATTGTCCCATCTTCCTTCCGAGGAGTGGCTGGTGGGTTTGAACCGCCAGCCTTTTGGTTAGCAGTCAAGTGCCTTAGGCACTATGCTACCAGAGCTCCCAGAATGACTGATAGTCTTGGCTTAATCCTCTCAAAGACATGCACATTAAACAAATAAACAAAACTCTCTTTGCTAATTTTTAGCCAGTAAAATCTACTGAGAATGTGCAGATGTTCATTTGGGGGTGGGGAATGGGGTGGCACTTTGTGCTCCCTGTCTAAAAGTAGAAGCTGCCCAGCTGCTTGAATTGTGGAGACCCAGGATGTTCCCTAGGGGCTCTAGAACAACTCTCTGATTTATCATTTTCCATCGGTTGGCCCTGCACTATTTTGGCAGAATACCAGGGAGTCACATGTGGGTGCTACTGGAGTTAGTGAGATTACCTTTCCACAGAAAAGAAAAGTGTTCTACAATTACAAAGGGCATACCACTGCAAAGGCCACACTTTTTTCATTCATTTGCCAATACCCTTCCCCTACTAGAAAAATTTTCAGGGTGCTTGGCAAAAGGAAAATCTATTTTATAGATGATAGATACATTTCTTCTTATCATCAATTTTAAACCTTATCTCTGGGATTCTGGGGGGGGGGGGAAACAAAAGGGCAGAAATAACAACAGAAGCAACATCAAAAACAACAGGGAAGAAAAAGTTGGGAGCCAAGCATGAAAGGGCTTCAGGAAAGGGCAGCAAGGGCTTCAGAAAGAAGAAACATTCACAGACAAGTTCATTTCAGCAATGAGAACACCACAAAGACAAATATCAGGAGCTCAGGAAGTAAGTCAGTAAGTTACTAAATAAATAAATGTGTGATACATCTACCAGGTACCAAATACTGTAATCAACAGTAATAAAAGCAACTATAATAGTAGTAATTATAATACCACCTTACTGGTATATTAAAATCACAAAGCATTTTATATACTATGGTAGCTTGATCCAAAAGGTATTATTGAAGAATTTTTAAATAAAATAATAATAATAATATTAAAAAAGAGAAAATCAAATGACTTATTGCATTGGGCAAATCTGCTTCAAAAGGCCTCTTTAAGGTATTTGAAAGCAAAAATGTCACTTTGAGAACTAAAGTGCATCTGATGTAGGCCATGATATTTTCAATCGCCTCATATGCATGTGAAAGCTGGACAATGAATAGGGAAGACTGAAGATGAATTGATGCCTTTGGATTATGGTGTTGGCAAAGAATACCAAATATACCACAGACTGCCAGAGGAACAAACAAGTCTGTCTTGGGAGAAGTAGGTATTATGTTGTCAGGAGAGACCAGTCCCTGCAGAAGGACATCATGCTTGGGAAAGTGAAAAACAAGTCAGCACAAAAGAGGAAGACCCTCAGGGAGATGGACTGACACAGCGGCTACAACAAAGGGCTCACAGAGAGCAACAATTGTAAGGATGGCACAGGACTGGTTAAGTGTTTTCATTTCATTGTAGACGCTTTTCTGTTTTATTATATTTCACAATTTTTAAAGTTAAGAAAAAAATTTTTTAATGCACCTGAGTCATAGGTTACATATATAAATGTCTGAATTTTCTAAGCACCAGTTATATTTCCCAGAATTTTCTATAACTACAATGCCATTTACAATGTAAATGGACTATCATATCTTTTTCCTGAAGTTTATTTTGCTGTTGTTATTGGGAATATATACAGCAAAACATACACTAATTCAAGTTTCTACACGTACCATTTAGTGATACTGATCACATTCTCCAAGTTGTGCAACCATTCTCACTCTTCTTTTCTGAGTTGTCCCTCATTAACAATTCATTGCCCTCTAAGATTCCCATCTAATCTTTCAAGTTGCTGTTGTCAATTCGATTCCATATAGATAGTTCTTAAAATTTTCTACACATGTATTGGTATGTTCTGTAAGAATTCCCAGGTGTACAGTAGAGCTGACAAGGGACAAGACTGTAGTCACTTCTTAGCCACAGCCAGATACCCAGAGGGAGCAAGCAGTTGGACCTGGGCTTGGGACCATGGTTGCAGGGGACATCAAGCTCAATTGGCATAACACACTACACAAAAACATTGTTCCACATCCTACTTTGGTGAGTAGTGACTGAGATCTTAAAAGCTTGCAAGTGGCCATCTGGGTGCAACAATGAGTCTCTCCTTGTCCAGAACAGAGAAGAATGAAGAAACCAAAGACACATGGAAACAATCAGTCCAAGGAACTGGTACAGCATGCAATCCTCAGCCTATATGACTATGAGACCAGAAGAACTAGATGGTGCCTGGCTACCACTGTCAACCACAGTGACATAGATTCAGAGGGGAATCTATGTAGGAGGTCCTGGATAGAGTGGAAGAACAATTTGAAACAAAACTCAAAATAAAATACATTTAAAAAAGTGGAGGGGACCAGATTTGCTGGTCTGATAGAACCTGGTAGAACCCCTGAGACTACATAGATGCCCTTTAGGTCTGGAATTGAACCCACTCCTGTGGCTTCCAGCCAAACAAAAGACAGGCATATGAGCTGAACATTTACATTACATAGATACACTCCTTGGAGAGATCAATCATGGGAGAATAAAAGGGTATCTTGCATAGAAAGATAGCTTTGGGGCAGGAGTGCATGGGAAGGAAGGACACAGGGAAGAGATGGCTATGGGGAGTGAGTGGGAAGGGAGCTATTGCATTGTGGGAGATTGCAGTCAATGTCATGAGACAAAGTATATGTGAACTCCTGTATGGAAAGTGAATTCGCTCTGTAAATTTTCACCCAAATCACAATAAAATTAAAAAAAAAAAAAAAGAGCATTACAGTCCAAGCAGACCTTTTTACTAGTTAAGCTAAACTATTATTCAGTTTTAAGATGACTTCAGGGGATATTTTGATTAAAAGTTTAAAGATTATCTCAGGGCAATAGCATTAGAAGTTCATCTACCTTCTATAACTCCAGAAAGTCTAGAGTCCATGAAAATTTGAAATTCTGTTCTGTATTTTCCTCTTTTTGATCAGGATTATTTTATGGAACCTTTTACCAACATATTCAGTGATGGTAGCCATTACTGAAGAACCATCCAGTCCTTCTGCTCTTACAGCAAAGGAGGCAGTTGCTCACTGAGGCAATTAGCCTCACATTCCATATTCTTCTCCTACTCCTGATTCCTTCCTCTGTTGCTCCAGGTGAATAGAGACCAATCGCTGTGCCTTGGATGGCCACTTGCACACTTTTAAAACCGCAGGTACTATGAAACAAACGAGGAAGTAGAAGAGAAGCACTAAACATGTTATTAGGTCAATTAAGTGGGGTGTCCCATGAAATCGTGACATCCAAAAACAAGGAACCAAATCCCACAAGGTGTTTGGTTGTACATAAGGAGCCTCAGCAGCTACTCTTTTCAGTCCTTGCTGTAACTATATCTAAGGAGCTCTGGTGGTGCATTGCCTAAGGATCTGACTGCTAACCAGAAGGTTAGCAGTTCAAGCCCACCAACCACTCCCAGAAGGAAGACTGAAATGTACTTCTGTAAAGACTTACCACCTCGAAAACCCAATGAGGGTCACTATGAGTTGGAATGGACTCGATGGCAGTAGGTTTTTTGGTTTTGGTAAATATATCTATCATCACCATGACCCCTCCTCCTTTCCACACCTGGTAACCATTAATAAACTCTGGTCTCCATTAAAAAACAAAGAAAGAAATAAAAGAAAAAGCTTTTATTGAGGTATTTTAACAATATCAAGGTTCAAGCATAATTACTCAATACCAATTCTGACATTTTGAGAAATATAGTATCTGATCCTTAGCCACATAAAGAATAAACTCTGCTAACCTAATCAATCTCTACTTGCCAAAATTTCAGTAGCCTTGGTGGCAAAATGGTTAAGCAGTTGGAACCCAACCAGGAGCTCTGCAGAAGAAAAGACCTGGCAATCTGCTTCTGTAAAGGTTACAGCCCAGGAAACCCTATGAGGCAGTTCTACTCTGTTACGTTAGGTCACCATGAGTTAGAATTGACTCCAGGCACATAACACAGCAATAATGACTTAGGAGTGACTCTTGGCCCAGCATTCAGTCACACTCCAGAGGCTGGAATAGAGCACATTTTAACACAGTATTTTCTCAACCTTGGCTGTATGTTAGAACCACCAAGGATATTTTAAAACCCCTTAATAGTCCCCAGACTATTTAAATTGGAACTTCTGAGAGTGGGCCCAGGCATCACTATTTCCTAAAGCTCCCCAAGTGGTTCAAATGTGCAGCCAGCATTAGGTATCACTTACATAAGTGAAATACACAGATTTTAAGTGTCCTGTTCATATGTTTTGATAAATAGCAGATTTATCATTACATACAGCCTTGTAACCCATACAGATGTCAAGAACAGAACATCTCTATCATCTTAGAACACACTCTTGTACCCCTTCCCAGTTGAACCTCACTACCCAGAAGACAACCACTATTCCAAGATTTTAAACATCGATTAGCTTTGCTATTCTAGAACTTCATATAAATGGTACCCTACAGAATATATTTGTCTGTGTTTGGTTTCTTTTGCTCAGCAAAATGCGTCTGTGGTTCACCCATACTGTTATACATCAATAGCACATTCCTTTTTGGTATATGACAACCACTATAAATACATAAATAGTATTCTATTTTGAACAAGGTGAGATACAAAAACATACATATCCCACAAATCCTCAACTTAAAAATATGTAACACTTTACAACATACAAGACATTTTTGCACACATTCTTCATATAATTATCACAGTAATATATGAGGGTTCTGTTTTGTTTTTTAATCTCCATCTCCAAGATGAGTCCTCAGAGCCCAGCCATGCAATGAGTGCCTGATAGCAAATGGCAGCTGCTGATCTCTGTTTCACCAATACCAAAGGGCAATCAAGACTCAATCACTTAAAGAGAGAAGAGAAAACCTCTGACATCCCCAAAAAGCATCAACGTACCACTCCAGGGAATATTTTCTGAAGCCGGTCTGCTGCAGCCAGGGCCTTGGCCTTACCACCCGCTAGACAATCTTCAAATTCATAGAGTGGCTGCCTCACAGGATTGGAGTAGGAGACCTTGGCATTGTCCACAAACGTGATGTGTCTGACGCCCCAGCCCTGCATGGAGACAGGATATGATGGTGTGTCTCTGATGAACGGTTCACAGTGCATCTTTCTTGAACTCCCTAGAAATGGCTTTGCTTTGGAGTAGTTTGGGATCCTCAAAGTAAAGGGAGCTTCAGAAATTGAATTGTGAAAATTCTGTTTTTAATCAACAAAATGCCAACTTCCTCTAAAAAACAAAGTAATCAAATAGTACCTGGTTTCTTGCAGTAATGAAACTAAGAAATGTCAGTGTGGGTCTGACTAATACCTCATTATTTCTGACAAAGGCACCAGACAAAGATTTGGAGCTGAATCCCATAAGAACTACGTTGCAGCCTTAAAAGGATTAGCGATAGCCCCAAATGTCTTTGGCTTCCCCTAATCTATAATCAAATACAAATAACAACTTCTTTTGAAACTCATTTGAAGCTGAATTAACTCCTCAGTAAAAAATATTTCCTATTCTGCAGCACTGTAGAGTATTTTGTACTATTTCTCCAAGAGGCAAAAGCTACATTAATAATCTGGGATTTGGGGAATGAGTCTGTATTCTCATAAATAGTTTTCATAGACTTAAATGACGTCACTCATAAAGTTTTATAAGGCCACAAAATTTTAGAGTTGGAAGAGATCTTCCAATGAAGGAATCCCTTCGTTTTATAAATGTGGAAAGTGACACTCAGAAAAGATCAGTGATCTGCCTCAGGTCATTCATCTGGTTCATGGTAGAGACAGAATAAAAATGCCTACCTTTTTCGGGGGGGCAGGGAATACCTTAGTAGACTATAAGTAAACATAGTGATCCAGTGACCCAAGAGAAGCCCTACATAACTGTCTACAAACCTAAGATTCTATTTGCTCTCACATTTCAATATCCTTCCATTAGGGACTTTGAGACTCAATTAGGCTGATGATTCCTGTGAGAAAGTCAATAAAGACCCCTTTTTGTAAGTGTACATGAGCTAAGAAGTTTGTAATATAGGATTGCTATGAGTCAGAATCTAGTCAATGCCAGTGGGTAAGCACTTTACAATGGAGGGGAAATAAAAGTGTGGACAATCTAAAAGTGACTTACGCATAGTTTGGGGATACTGATTTCTTAAGTATTTTTGCATTCCTTAAGCAATTGGTGAGTGGATAGCAAAGGAAAGCAATCTGGGAACATGCCAGGTAGTGGATAGAAAGCCAGATAAATTTAAAACATGCCATAGGTTTGTCACATGCAGGTGGACTTCCACACTTAACTTTTGGCCTCCTGGAATGCTACACAGTTAAATGGCTAATCTGCAAAGATTAAAGAAAATTACAATACTCAGTGCTGGTGAGGATGTGACAGTAAAAAAGCTATCTTACTGGCTGAAAGGATAAACTGGTATATTCTTCTAGAAAATAATTTGACAATTTGCTTCTAGAATTTAAGTGTTCATATCCTTTGATCTATTTCCAGCAATCTATCCTAATGAAATAACTTGAAATGCTGACAAAAACTAAACCACAAAAATGTTCTTTGCAATATATTTATAATTATAAAAAAATTGGGAATGATGCTGATGCCTAACATTAGGGGAATGTTTTGGTAAATTATGTTTCATCCTATAAGAAGGCATATTCTACAGCCAGTAAAAATGTTTTATAGACATAATTTATAATGACAGAGGAAAATGTTTACAATGTTAACTGATAACAGCAAGGGAAATAATTATTACATATCAAATAAGATGTAGAAATATACATGGAACAAACACTGGAAAGAAATAAGCAAAAAAGGGAACAGTGACAGTTTCTCAGGGGTAGAAAAAGAGTTGCCTTCTTTTCCTGATTTATAACTTTTAGACAGGCAGTCCTTGGTCACAAAAGAGATCCATTCCTAACTGTGTCTTTAAGAATTTGTAGGTAAATTGGAATAGCTGCATATGGTTCTTATTTGGTCTTCCTTTAGTGCAAGAGAAAGCAGCTCTGGTGGCATAGTGGATAAGGCATTTGGCTGCTAACCAGAAGGTCAGAGGTTCAAACCCACCAGCCACTCCGTAGAAGGAAAATAGAGTGATCTACCTCCGTAAAGATGTATAGCCTTGGATACCCAATAGGGGTCACTATGAGTCAGAATCGACTCAACAGCAGTGAGTTTGATTTTTTTTTTGGTTCATTTACAAAAATAAATTCTACACTGATAAAGATCTAAACATAGAAAACAAAAGTTCTGTAAACCATAAAAGAAAAGAGTGATACTTTCAATAACATAAAAATTTAAAACCTGTGTATGGTTAACTCAAAAAAACCAATCCAAATTCACTGCCATCAAGTTGATTCTGGCTCACAGCAAGCGCCACTGGGTTTCCAAGGTGGTAAATCTTTAAGGAAGTAGATTACCCCATCTTCCTTCTGAGGGAGCAGCTGGTGGGCTTGAACCACCAACCTTCTGGTTAGCAGTCAAAATACCTTAGGCACTGTGCCACCAGAGCTCCTTTGCATATGGCTAAAAGTACCTTAAATAAATTGAGGAAAATATTTGCATCATATTATAGAAAAAAGGTTAACATCTATGATTAAAAAAAAAAAAAAAGCATGCCAAATCATAAAATAAAAGAAATACAACCCAAAGTACATGAATAAATAAAATTCACAAAAGAAAAAAAAGAAAACACTTACCCTCACTAATTATAGAAATTTAAATTATAATAATGAAATATTACTCTTTAATCAACTGCATTGACAGATACTAAAACGTTGATAGTATTCAATTTAGCAAATGGGTAGGAGGAAGTTCTGTGACATGTTTCTAAGAGTATAATGTTCTTAAAAGGTAATTTAGTTAGAAAAATATACATACATAAATTATATATTCTTTCTAACAGGTATGAAGAGATACAAGTATAAAAATGTCCGTTTCATCATAGTCTCTAATATAAAAAAAATGGAAAATACCCTAAAATTGATTAAACAAATTGAGGACACAGCCATATAAGATAATAATATGTACATATAGTATGGTAGATATCCACAATTATTTTTCTTAAGTTAATAACAAAAGCCTGTTATAAACAATATGCAGAGTGTGATTTAATTTTTATAAGTATAAATAAATAACAAAGGCAACAAATTTCTCTCTGCATATTTGTATATGCCTACAAAAACGTCTGGGAAAGATATAATGCATACTAATCTATGAAGATGGTTAATTCTGGGAATTAATATTTTGGATAGGGATGCAGTTGTTGTTGTTATGTGTTGTAGAGTCGGACCCGACTCATAGTGACCCCTCCTTGGGTTTCCAAGGAAGTATCACTATGGAAGTAGATTGCCCCATCTTCCTTCCGAGGAGTGGCTGGTGGGTTTGAACCACCATCCTTCTGGTTAGCAGTCAAGTGCCTTAGGCACTACACTACCAGAGTTGCAGGGGAGAGTATATATTCCTGTATTGATTGAATTTTTGTAATAAAAGCATGTATTACTTTTATAATTGGAATGATACTGAGAAAAGAAGGAAAGGAGTGAGGGAGGAAAGGAAAGAGGGCAGGGAAGGGTGAATCTGGGAGAGTGGAGGCAATCATGTAAAACAAGAGAAGACACAGCATTGAAGGCACCACGTGGCACCCACCAACTTACCATCAGTGTCCTAGCTACGTTACAACCCAAGGTGCCAGCTCCAAGCAACAGACATCTGGCAGAAACAACCTTATCCAAGTCCAAAGTAGGGACCAATCTCCAACACATCAATTTGAGATTTAGATCCACAGATGACTCAGCTAACCTAGAAAATGAAAGAATTGTTTATTTATTCAGCCATTCATTCACTGATAGCCCAATCTTGTCTTCAAACAGGAAACAAATCATGAGGAAATTGGGATCAAAGGGAAAATAGGATGAAGCTTGAGGTTATACAGAGAGGAGAGACTGCTCCCAAATTGCATGCCATTCTGTACAGCTGTGTGCTGTAAGTCGATTCTGACTCACAGTGACCCTATAGAATAGAGAATTGTCCCACTAGGCTGGAATATTTACAGGGCAGATCACCAGGTCTTTTCTCTTAAGGAATGGCTGATAGACATTTGGTAAGCAGCCCAGTGCATGCCATTATAGTTCTCAGCAATTGTTAGTGGAAGGCTACACATCTGATACTGCAATTCTGTAAGCCAAAGTGAAAAGGGAAGGATGATCAACCTTAAGAGCCAGAGTGTCATGAATGATAACACACCAGCTGCTTAAGAGGAGACTTTTTTCCTAATACTAAAAACTGAGATATTCCTTCCACGCCTCTTTAATAACAGGTGCATTTACATCCTCCCTTAAATACAGTACTGCTTTCTGTGAACTACTCCTGATCACGTCTTTGAGTTGTAGCCCAACAACACAAAGTTAAAGGCAGTGGGTGAGGACTAAAAGGTGCTGTAGGCATACAGGTCCAAGAGTTTGAGCTTGAAGCAAGAACAAAATTGAGAATGTCTAGAACAGATGAACCATGTGTCCTTTAGGAAATCCATCATGAATATTCATTATCGCAACCAAATTTAAAGTCAGAATTAGGTAGCAACGAATAGGATAACTCTCAGTGTCAGTAATGGCTCCCCCTGGAATTTGGCGATACAGTCGTTCTGACAAAACCTGGTGTGAGTCCTGGTTACAAAAAGCCCCAATGTGGAAAACAGCTTTCCAAGTGTACCTTTTAGGGTCCATGCATTCACTGAGGTTCACCATCCTTGGTCCCATGCCTCCTTTCTGGTTCTTTTCCCACCCGACTGCTTTGGGACAATCTTAAGGCAAATAAAACAATAATTTTCATGAAAAAGGGAAGAATAAAAACAAGCAAATCAGAAAGCTTACATTAAAAAGATGAACATTCGCAATGACCCATGCATCGATAAGCTTTCCATTTCTTTCTTTCTCAGAGTCTAGCAGGCCTGAATTTCTCTGCACTTGCCACAGTTGCTCCTCCCCATCTATCTTTGCAGGCCATTAAACATGAGTACAGTCTTCTTGTAGAACAAACCAAACCAAACACACTGCCAGCAAGTTGATTCCGACTCAAAGCAATCCTACAGAACAGAGTAGAACCACCCCATTGGGTGTCCAAGGCTATAAATCTTTACAGAAGCAGACTGCCACATCTTTCTCCCACTGAGAGCTTTAACCACTGTGAAACCAGGGCCCGTTCTTCTTGTAGAGGGGCTTCTGGAAGAGCCCTCAACTCTGGCCCAAGGTGCCTCAACTGCAATTACCAGAAGTTGCTCAAAAAAAGATAATCATGTTTGGGGTAGGTATAAGACAAGCCATTGTGACAACAACATACCTTTTCTGAAGTTCCTACTGGGATCTGGAACTTGTGAATTCAGCAGGTCCCTTTTGTCTCCATCTTTACCATGTCCCTCTGGCCAGCTTCACAACTCCTTCATTGTGTACCTGTGTGACTGCCCCCCTATTAAATTGGCCTCTCCTTTAAGCTCATCCTTGTCCATTCAAACTTTCTCTAACTTACCCTTTCTTCTCTGACCTCTCTCTTAAGTCCTATTTATGGTAGGCGCTCCGGAGGCACAGTGCTTAAAGCATTGACTGCTAACCAGAAGGTTGGCAGTTCAAACCCACCAGCCACTCCACAGAAGGAAGACTGGGCAATCTACTTCCATAAAGATTTATCGCCTCAGAAACCCAAAGGGGGTCGCTATGAGTTGGAATCGACTCGATGGCAGTGAGTTTGGGTTTTTTCATGGGAGCCTCAAAGAGCCCTCGTGGTGTAACGGTTAAGTGTCCAGCTGCTAACTGAAAGGTCAGTGGTTCGATCCCACCAGCAGCTCCATGGGAGAAAAGACCTAGGATCTGCTTCCATAAAGATTGCATCCTAGGAAACCCTATGGGGTAGTTCTGCTCTGCCATGTAAGGTCACTATGAGTAGGAATCAACTCGATGCCACAAAACAACAATGGTAGCCTCTGTAACTCCAATTCCAGCAGAAACTAAGGATTCTGTGGCTAAATATGCTAGAAAAATGCTTCTCTATATTCTCTCTCCACCCCGACCCCTACCCAAATCCGGAGATTCGTATTGCATATAAGGAAGAAAAACACTCTGAGAAGCCTGCAGTAAAGAAACAGTTTATTTGGCTTTGGGTTTCCCAAACTCACTTGGCTCTCTGTATCTGCTTTGCTCTATAATTAATATTTCATGAGACACAGGTAAAAGCTGTTCTATTTTCTCATTGAAAAAAATGTCTTAAAAAAAATCTCAATTGCTTTGTGGAATACTCCTGACACCTCCCCTCCTTAACTGAAACCTCACTCTTCTTGGTGAGATCAAGGCCATATAAATCTTCTTAATGGAGTCTCTCACTCTCTCACACTCCCTACATCTCAGAATCTCTCTCTCTCCTTTTCTCATTGAATCTCCACTGCTCACATTAAAACCTCAACTCCTTAGCAGGGAAATTTAGCTGCTGTTTCATTTAGCCACAACTTACCCTTCTAGTAAAACCTCCAGTATTTATAGGAAGAGAAACCTCTTGACTTAAAATTAAGATATACAGGACTGTTTGCCTCCAAACTGAATGCTTGACTACTTTTGTACACTGGTTTTGTTTGGCCAGTTTCCTATTTTTAGCTTTCTATCAACATCTTTATTATTCTTTCCTCGGAACATTTTAGTTTTTTTTTTTTTTTTTTTAAATAGTATTGCTCAATATAATTCTGGAACTTATAAGGTGCTGATTTTATTTAAATAATCTTTTCTTTCTGGAGTAGAATGGCCAACTGGGAACCATGAGCTAATTATCTTTGAAAACACCTCAAGGCCCTAATTTGGCCGGGGTGTCATTCACACCAAGAAACCAGAATATAAATGTCTCTTCCCCATTTTGAGCTCAGGCACCTGATGTGGTCCTTTTTATAATATGAAAAATTAAAACTAAAATAATAGATTTCAGTTATTAAAGAGTTTAAGATTTGGATATTCTTTTTCTGGGGAAACCTACAATTTTATCAATGATGAAAAAAAAATACTCTATTTGACAATAATTTTTAATCTACCACATCTGCCTCCACAGAATCCACACCCATAAAATATACTCCAATTAAATGAGTCTGTCATTTTGTCATACTGTGCTGGTTAACATGTTGCTGTAATGTTGGAATCTATGCTACTGGTATTTCACATACCAGGAGAGTCATCCCTAGTGGACAGGTTTCACTGGAGCTTCTAGACTAAGACAGACAGGACAGAAAGGCCTGGCAATTTATTTTTGAAAATATGCCAATGAATACCCTATATATCACAACAGACTACTGCCCAATACAGTGCTAGAAGGTGAGCCCGCTAGGTTGGAAAGCACTCAAAATACAGTGGCTGCAACAATGGACTTGAACAGACCAATCAATGATTGTGAAGATGGCTGAGGACTGGACTACATTTTGTTCTGTTAAACATCAAGTTGCTATAAGTTAAAGATGAGTCAGAGCTGACTCAGAGCTGTGTGTGAGTTGTGTGTGGCCACTGCAATGAATTATCAAACCCAGCAGAGAAATAGAGAGTGCCGTGGGAGGGACAGTTGGTGTCATAACTGGTAGGAAGGTTAAAGGGTAGAAGTATGTCTGATCTATGCCTCACAGAAATCAGGCTTGGGCTGTTGATCTTGATTGTCCTCCCCTCTTGAGAAGTTAGAGAAGGTCAGATGCTACTGCGCCCGTGCTATTTTTACACCTTGGCTTCATTATGAGGGAGCAAAAGAAGATGTAATATATTTAAAATATTTCTTATCTGAACTACCCTTGCAATTATGGGATATCCTAGAAATACTAAAAAGTGCTACCATACTAATACCTTCAGTTCACATTATTATACAATTGAGTTCCTAAATAAAGTTTTATTTATATCTCACGGGGAAAAACTTAACTTATATGACTAAAAGGAAATTTGCCTTTCTTAAACTAATCTATCGCCAGGAACTCTGGTAGCATAGTGGCTAAGGCACTTGACTGCTAACCAGAAGGCTGGAGGTTCAAACCCACCAGCCACTCCTTGGAAGGAAGATGGGGCAATCTACTTCCGTAGTGATACTGTCTCGGAAACCCAAGGAGGGGTCGCTATGAGTTGGGTCCAACTCGACGGCACATAACAACAACAACAACAAACTAATCTATCAGGAGCTCTGGTAGCATAGTGCCTAAGGCACTTGACTGCTAACCAGAAGGCTAGTGGTTCAAACCCGCCAGCCATTCCTCAGAAGGAAGGTTGGGCAATCTACTTCCGTGGTGATACCGCCTCAGAAACACAAGGAGGGATCGCTATGAGTTGGGTCTGACTCGACGGCACATAATAACAACAAACTATTCTATATTCAATATGAGTCATAAGGAAGATATATTGAAGGCATCACTGGACAATAGAAAAAAGAGTTTTCTACTCAGGTAACTGGCGGTCAGGCAGCAGACACTGCCTGAGTGGGAAGAGGTCCCTTCTTAACCTCCTGTCCTTGATGTGGTTCTCCTGGTTGCCCAACCTTGAAAAACAGAACCCAATTTTCCCCTAAAAATATTTCTTCATTAAATTTTCATTATTTTTAGTTGCCATTGAGTTAACTCTAACTCAATGGCAACCTGATATATAACAGAAAGAAACACTGTCTAGTCCTCAGCCATCTTCACAATCATTGGTATGCTTGAGTCCATTGTTGCAGCCTATGTGTATTTTGAGTGCCTTCCAACACAGAGGGTTTGTCAGCCTCACAAACTATTAGTTGTATTGTGGGGAGTAAGGAGTAAGAGTAACTCAGCAACTATACCATAAAAGTGGAAAGGAAACACCCTCCCCCATAGGGTGAGAGAGAGAGACGAGACACATTGCCGTCAAGTCACATCCGACTCACATAGAACCCTCCTTGGGTTTCCAGGCAGTATCTCTATGAAAGTAGTTTGCTCAACCTTCCTTCCAAGGAGTGGCTGCTGGGTTTGAATTGTCAGCCTTCTGGTTAGCAGTCAAATGCCCTAGGCACTACACCACCAGAGCGCCTCCATAGGGTAGATGGAGGAATTAAACAAGAAACACATGGAAGGTACCTAGTGGCCTGCCTGGAATAGACCAGGCATTCACTAGTTGCTACACTCACCTCATCCCTCTAAAACTAATTTTAAGTTGTAGTTTGATAAAACAAAGGTGCATCAAGTAAGTTACCATTATAACCAAACCAAACAATAATATTAGTTCTGATTCATAGCAACCCTGCAGGACAGAACAGAACTCCCCCACGAAGTTTCCAAGGCTGTAATCTTTACAGAAGCAGACTATGTCATCTTTCTCCCATGGAGTGGCTGGTGGGTTCAAACCTCTGACATTTTGGTTAGCAGTTGAGTTTTTTAACCACCACGTCACCAGGGCTGATTTGTTGTTGTCATTAGGCACCATTGAGTCAGTTCTGATTCATAGCGGCCCCATGCACAACAGCATGAAACACTGCCCGGTCCTGTGCCATTCTCACAATGGTTACTATGCTTGAGCCCATCGTTGCAGTCACCATCTCAGGACTCTTTTTTTGTTGTTGTTGTTATTTGCCATTGAGTCGGACTGACTCATAGCAATCCCTCCTTGGGTTTCCTAGGCAGTATCTCTACGGAAGTACATTGCCCAACTTTCCTTCAGAGGAATGGCTGATGGGTTTTAGTTAACGTTATACAGAAGCTATTTTAGAATATGCCAGAAGAGGGTGCTAAATCAAATGCAAATATCTAAAGCAGAAAGGCAATGGACATATGGTTCTCAACTAAAAAGCAAGCATCTCATCCTCTGACTGACCAAATAATCTGTCAATCATTCTGAGAAGTCTAGAAATATAAAAACTTATAAAATGTCATCAGAGCCAATCCTAAATCCTTTTGACTTTTGCACTCTAAAAATGATATCTCAGGATAGATTTAACACTCTATGTGAAAGTACTTCAAAAAGTATATATGTCACAGAAATCTTAGAGATTACTTTGGGATGGGATGTCTTAGAACAGTCATAGGTGTGGGAGGAACACTGGGCTTTGAATGAGATAGGAAATAAATTAATATAAATGAACATTTACTACGGACCTGTAACAAGCCAGACATTGCATTCTGTCTTTTACAGAGAACACAGATTCCTTATAAGGAATAACCCATGAGATAGGTATTATTATCCTCATTTTACTGAAACTTGAGTATGCCTCTGTGACATATAAATAAATAAATAAATAAATAAATAAATAAATAAATAAATAAATAAATATATATATATATATATATACATACACACACACATACATACACATACATACATACATACATATAGGAGCTCCGGTAGCGCAGTGCCTAAGGCACTTGACTGCTAACCAGAACGCTGGCAGTTCAAACCCACCAGCCACTCCTTGGAAGGAAGGTTGGGCAATCTACTTCCATAGTGATGCCACCATGGAAACCCAAGGAGGGGTCGCTATGAGTTGGGTCCAACCCAACGGCACATACAACAACATATACATATAAATCAGTATGTATGTATGTGTGTGTGTGTGTTGTTGTCATTGTCAGGTGTTGTCGAGTCGTCTCTGACTCATAGCGACTCTATGCATAGCAGAATGAAACACTGCCCGGTCCTGTGCCAGCCTCACGGTCCTGTGCCAGCCTCACGATCCTTGCTATTCTTGAGCCCATCCTTGCATCCACTCTGTCAATCCATCTTGTTAAGGGCTTTCCCCTTCTTTGTTGACCCTCCACCTTACCAAGCATAATATCATTCTCCAGGAAATGGTTCCTTCTGACAACACGACCAAAGTAGGTGAGATGAAGTCTGATCATTCTCACTTCCAAAGAGCATTCTGGTTGTACTTCCTCCAGGACAGATTTGTTAGTCCTTTTAGTAGACCATGGTACTCACAGCATTCTTCTCCAACACCACAACTCAAAAGCACCAGATATATATATATGTTGTTGTTGTTGTTATGTGCCATCGAGTCAGACCCGACTCATAACAACCCCTTCTTGGGTTTCTGAGACAGTATCACTATGGAAGTAGATTGCCCAACCTTTCTTTCCAAGGAGTGGCTGGTGGGTTTGAACCGCCAGCCTTCTGGTTAGCAGTTAAGTGCCTTAGCCACTATGCTACCAGAGCTCCCAATATATATATATATATGTGTGTGTATACACACACAAGGAGCCCTGGTAGCATAGTGCCTAAGGCACTTGACTGCTCACCAGAAGGCTGGTGGTTCAAACCCACCAGCCACTCTTCGGAAGGAAGGTTGGGCAATCCTACTTCCGTAGTGATACTGCCTCGGAAACCCAAGGAGGGGTCGCTATGAGTCGGGGCCGACTCGATGGCAAACAACAACAACAACACACACACACACACACACACACGTATATATATGTCCCTGGACAGTTAATCGCTGAATTATTAACCAAAAGATTTGCATTTCAAACCCACTCAGAGGTGCCTCCAAAGGCAGGCCTAATGATCTGCTTCCAAGACTACAGCCTTGGAAACCCTATGGAGCTGTTCCTCTCTGCACACATGGGGTCACTATGAGTCAGATCAACTCAATAGCAACTAGTAACAATACATATACACACACACACATATATACACATACACAAGTGTATATATAGACACACACACCAAAGAAAGAAAACAATTGCCATTGATTTCAATTTATGGATACTCCATGCGTGCCAAAGTAGAACTGCTCACAAGGTTTTCAAGGTTGTGACCTTTCAGAAGCAGATTGTCAGGCTTTTCTTCCATGGTACATCTGGGTGGCCTCACACATATGTATACCTCACTCACTGTCATCAAGTCGGTCCTGACTCATAGTGACTTCTCCTTAGGTTTCCAAGGCAGTGTCTCTACAGAAGTAGACTACCCAGTCTTCCTTCCAAGAAGTGGCTGGTGGGTTTGAACCACCAGCCTTCTGGTTAGCAGTCAAATGCCTTAGGCACTATGCCACCAGAACTCCTTGCATATATCTATGTATCTAAAATATCTCCAGCCTAAGTTCCTAAATTATAAAATGAGGATAACAGCTAATGTTTACTACACCAGGATCAAATAATAAATGCAAAATGTGGAAGAAGAAATGGCACTTTTTGCTGAGTGGATTACTATATAGAGAACAGAATCATATACAACATTTAAGTATGTAATAAATAAATATTTAAGTGCATTAATATTTCATTCTCCCTTTAAGAAAGGATAGGAACAAAGATTTTTATGTTAAATAAAAACAAAACCTAAGGGGAAAAAAATCCTCAAAAATGAAAAAAACTGCCTGAAGAAAACGTTCAGCTGACAATCTTTGCCATTTTTCCCACATAAATAGCAGTGAGTGCCTTCTGTTCAAAGGAGGTGTTCTTGTTGGCAAAGAGGCAGGCGTTGCACTTCCTCCCTCTCCTTTACTGTGAGGGGCTAAAAAGAAACTAAACCTGATTTGGTTTGTGATAAGTGATAATTACGTGCATTCTCAAAGACCAGCGAATTACCTGGGCTAAACGCCATTTCTGGAAGCTTCACTTCAAAGATGATGCTGTGGGCAATGTCTCTCACCCCCTGCATGGTACGGTCCCGGAAGCAGACCACCTCCACAGACTGCAATCGGCTACTCCTGTGGTCATGCCCCAGGTTTTGGGTTTTGTTTTTTTAAGGAAGAAAAAAAAAGAGCTCACATCAGAGCTTCATCAAATCCAACTGGACAGAATTCAATTCCTTTTAAATTATGCCTCTCTGGCACCCTCCAGGAATAGTTTTAATATTTGACAGACTTTTAATATATCCCTACAGGCTTCCATGTCCAAGTATTTAGAGGCTGCAAATGGAATTGGCCCTGATTTCTTTCTAGGTGAATTTTACATAACAGTCAGTAACTAGGAAGCCCACCTGGATGAGTAGATATACAGTATTCTCCCTCTGGGGACAAACTGTAATTTATCTCTTTCAATTCTTTTAAGTAAACATTTTTACCACACAGAGAACACACAAATACTAAGTAAAAAGGAGTTGTCTCATGCATCATCCCAGCCACTAATCACCCCCCTTCAGAGTAACTTCTACTCTAACTTCTGAACCCATACGTTACTTTTACCTGTTTCTTAACTTTTGATTTAAATGGCATCATAGAGTCTGTAAGCCCAGCTTATTTCTCTCAACAGTGTGTCTTAGGAATTCATTCATAGTGACACATGTATTAATATAGCAGTCCATTGTAACGAATACACCACAACTTACTATCCATTTCATTACTGATGGACATCTGGATTATTATCAGTTTTCAGATATTATGAACAATGCTGCTATCAGTATTTTAGTACATGTGTTTTGGTTGTATCGACATATACATTTCTGTGGGTCATATACCTCAGAGTAAAACCTCTGAGCCACAGCTGTTTTTATATTTGATGGATACTGCCAAACAGTTTTCCAGCAGTTTGAGAGTTCCAATTGCTCCACATTTTTAACAATTCTTGGTACTGTCATATTTTAAAGTCTTATTGGAGGGTATATAGCCATATCTCATTATTACTTTATTTTTATTTCCTATGAAAAAAATACATTTGAGAGAACAGAGATATAGACATAGGCAGACACATTGTCAAATAATATACAGACACACACACACACTGTAAATACCATCTGTGGGCTGTTAGGACCAAAAAATTCCTCAAAGGCCATCCAGGGTACTGGGCTAAGTTACAGGGATCATATACACCAACTGTTATCTGTGAACAGAAAAGACTTTCAGAGTGAGCCAAGAATCATGTCAGATTCAAAACATAGACATTGCTATACTTCCTTGTCCCATTTTATGATGTTTTACAAAGCATTCACAGTTAGACACTTAGTGAAGGACTAAAGGGAAGAGAAGAAAGCAAAAAGATCTCAACACTGTACAACTTGTCACAGTCAAATTCTTCTCTGGACCCTCTGTGTCTTGCGTTGGGCTTGGCATAGAGTGGGAACTAGATACATTTACAAAGAAGATTGAGAGAAAGATGGGAAAAGGAGGAAGACAATCAACTATCTTCCTTATGTAGAGAAAATCCTCTCTGAAAATACTATAATCTGTGAATTATCGTATTATGTAATAAGAAAATCAAAGAAGGGCCACTACATTGTTAAGTCTACAGTTAGATCAAATTAAAAGGCCAGGCACCCTTAATATTGTTAAAATATATCTGCTCCTTCCTCCACTCCTCCAACTCTGATCTCCATCTGGAAAACTCTTCTCAACTTCAAATACCATTTCTTCAGTGAAAACTTCACAAAGTAGTAGTCACCAACCTTTTGGCTTCCACTGCTCTTTGTACATTATATATAACATTTTTCACTTTTTCTATCCTTTTCCTCTCAGAAGATAATGAGCACCTAATACCCAGATCTTGGTTTCCAAATAATATTGTCCAGGGTTCCTTGGAGAAATGACTGATTCTAGGGCTGAAGCAGGGAAAATACAAGATGAACCTAGAACATGTTCTTATAGTTCTAGAAGTAAGGAAGTGTTCAGAAACCAAAAACATGGGAGTATATCAAAAGATAGGAGCCAACCCTAGAGAGCTCCCAGTGGCCAAAGCTAGAATGATTTCAGTGACAAAATACATAACATACTATTAGATTATAAACAAAGTATGAAATAAATATATGTGAGTTCATCCTGGTACGATAAAGGATTGAATAAAAAATAAATAGAAGTGACTACGCTTCCTTACAAATGAATTCCAAACAATGTAGGCAGATTCCCCCTTTAGAAAGTGAACTTTAATCTTTTCCTCCTTTAAGGTAGGCTGGACTAAGTAACTCACTTCCAAAGAAAAAAAATAGTATCTTTACAGTAGAGAAAGAAATCGGGCAAGCACTAGCTTAACAAAGTGGCCAAGGTCAACTACGCCACTGATATGATGTACTCCTGATATGAGGTGATGACAAAAGTACTCTCTTCACTGCAACTCTTTCTATAAAGACCAATAAGCCCAGTATAATCATGAGAAAAACATTAGATAAACCTGACTTGATGGACATTCTATAAAATACTTGACCAGTAATCCTCAAAACTGCAAAGTCATCAAAAGCAAGGGAAGTTTGAGAAACTGTCAAGGACTAGAGGAAACTAAAGACATGACAACTAGATCCAATGTGGCATCCTGAAGTGGATGCTGGAACAGAAAGATGTTAACAGAAAAACTAGGGAAATCTGAATAAAGTCTGAAGTGTATAATTAATAGTATTGTACTAATTTTGGTTCCTTAGATTTGACAAATGTACATGGTAATGTAAGGTGATGACATTAAAGAAAACAACTGGGTGAGGATATATGGGAACTTGCTATACTAAGCAATTTTCCTGTAAATCTAAAGTTATTCCAAAATAAAGTTTATTTAAAAGAAAGAAGACAATGAGATCTCTGTGATCAGCTCATAGATACAGAGCAGGTACTCAGTGAATGCTTATTTAACAATGGATGGATGGATGGGTGGATAGATGAGTGGCAGAAAGAAAAGAGAGAGGGAGGGAACAAGAGAAGATGGATGGCAGGAGCTCACAGGTTTCCATTAGAGGAGTAAACCAAACCCACTGCCATTGAGTTGATTCTGACTCCATCGGGTTTCCGAGGTGGTAAATCTTTACAGAAGTAAAGTGCCTGGTGGGTTTGAACCACTGCCTGGTCTTCCTTCCATGAAGTGGCTGGTGGGTTTGAACCATCAACCTTCTGGTTAGCAGTCAAATGATTTAGGCACTGTGCTACCAGAGCTCCTTATTATAGGAGTAGTAATGGGTTAAATAGGAGCTCTGGTAGCACAGTGCCTAAGGCATTTGACTGCTAACCAGAAGGCTGGCAGTTCAAACCCACCAGCCACTCCTTGGAAGGAAGATGGGGCAATCTACTTCTGTAGTGATACTGCCTCGGAAACCCAAGGAGGGGTCGCTATGAGTCAGGTCTGACTCAATGGCACGTAACAACAATGGGTTAAATAAGGAGCTCTGGTGGCGTAGTAGATAAGGCACTTGACTCCTAACTGAAAGGTCAGTGATTCAAACCCAACATCTGCTCTGTGGAAGGAAGATGGGGTGATCTACTTCTGTAAAGATTTATAGCCTTGGAAACACAATGGGGGTCACTATGAGTCAGAAACAACTCAATGGCAGTGAGTTTTGTTTTCAGTTTTTGGTTAAATAAGGAGCTCTTGTGATATGGTGGTTAAGGCATTTGGCTGTTAACTGAGAGGTCGGTGGTTTGAACTCACCAGCCATTCCATGGAAAAAAGACAAGGCAGTCTGCTTCTGTAAAGATTTACAGGGCTAGAAACCCAATGGGGGTCACTATGAGTTGAAATCAACTCAATGGGAATGAGTTTGTTGTTGTTGTTTGAGTGGGTTAAATAAAAATGTGATGATATATTTTTGGTAAATCTAGATTCAGTTAGTTCAGTACGATAACATCAGCCTCAAATTTTCCTTTTTTATTTCCCACACTGTTCAGTGCAGTATCAGTTACAAATCAGATGCTTAATCAATATTTAAAATAGAAAGAAAGAAAAAAAAGGAACCATAATCCCAATATCTATCAACCAGCATTAATAGCTTGGTGTACCATCTCCTATAATATTATTCTTTGCATAAATATATTTTTATTATGGTAAGTTTTAAACAAAATGAGATAAAGCTATAAAAACTTTTTATATCTTTTAGTATATTGTGAACTCTTTTCCATGTTAATAAATGCCAATGAATGTCATTCCAGAACTATTGTTAAAACTAAACTCACTGCCATCGAGTCGGATCTGATTCATAGCAACCCCTCCTTGGGTTTCCAAGGAAGTATCACTACAGAAGTAGATTGCCTTATCTTCCTTCTGTGGAATGGCTGGTAGGTTTGAACTGCCAGTCTTCTGGTTAGCAGTCAAATGCCTTAGGCACTAGGCCACCAGACCAACTATTGCTAGTAGTGGCTAAATGGCATTGCACTGTACCATATCTTTTTTCTTCTGTTGAAAGACAATTAAGTAATAGTCTTCACCATGCTCAATAAAACTCTGAAAATGAATTTTATTATTTTCTTATCAGTTACTGCACTATTTCACAAATATTCTTTAAAAATGTCTGCTGCTTTCTCTATTTAATGAAAAATGTTCTTATTCTTAAAACAAAAGTCTTTTCTGTCTAGAAGCATTGTCCTGTTTTAAATGCAAACAGATAGATTTATATTTAATATAAATAGATTCATATCTATGGTTATCCTTTCAGGAAATACAAGATACCTTCATTTGAGAAGATTTCATTTTCTACTGGGACATAAAACATCATCATCTAGGGAGCTTTTTAAACTATAGATGACAGAGACTATTCTGAGTACCATCCCTTACAAAATAATAAGCTTGGGGAAATTTTTAACATTTCCAGGCCTCACTTTTTATCTGAATCATGGGGAAAACACAATGTTGCAGTGAGAGTTAAATGAGATAATACGAATATTATGTGCCCAGAACCTGCACTATTGTTGTTGTGTGCCATCAAGTCGGTTCTGGCTCACAGTGACCCTATAGGATGTGCGTAGTCATCAATCAACAACAACTACTAACATCGTTACTCATGACTCAGGATCATCTAGCAATCTGTGTTTGTAAAAAGCTCCTGATGCAGAGGGACTGATACACAGGCTTAAATCTGGAAACTCTTAGAGAAGTTGGTCTTATACACAGAAGAAAAATACCCATATCTCTGGGGATACTCTTCATTTATCGCCTGCCAGTTTGTGATGCTGTAGTGGCATGTGTGTTGCTGTGATGCAGGAAGCTATGCCACTGGTATTTCAAATGCCAGCAGGGTCACCCATGCTGAACACATTTCAGTAATGCTTCTAGACTAAGACGGAGTAGGAAGAAAGGCCTGGTGATCTACTTCTGAAAATTAGCCAATGAAAACTCTCTGAAACACAACAGAATATTGTCTGATGCAGTGCTGGCAGCTGAGCCCCTACGTTGAAAGGCACTCAGAATGCACCGTGGCCACAACAATGGACCCAGCATATCAACCACTGTGAAAGTGGAGCAAAACTGGGCAACATTTCACTCAGATGTACATGGGGTTGCCAGGAGTCAGAGCCAACTGGACAGAAACAAACAAGTTTTCATTACCTTAAAAAATCTAGATTGGCTCTACGTCTTCCCACGCCCCTCAAAACTTGGTCCATGCATAGCAGCAGCAGCATCACCTGGGAGCCTGTCAGAAATGCAGAATCACAGGCCTTACCCTAGACCTGCTGTTGTGTGCTGTCGAGTCGATTTCAACTCACAGAGACCCTACAGGACAGAGTTGAACTTCCCTATAGTGTTTCCTAGGATGAAATCTTTATGGGAGCAGATCACTACTAGTGGTTTGAAACTGGCACCTTCTGGGTTAACAGCTGAGTGCTTAACCATTGTGCCACCAGGGCTCCTCACCTTAGGCCTACAATATTGGAATCTGCACTTGAAAAAGAACTCCAGGTGATCTCTATGCTCGCTGAGGGCTGAGGTAGAAGCACTGCTTTGCTCCTCAACTCTCGATTGCAGTGGTTCTCAAATCTGTATGTGCCAGGGAACCACTGGGGAGCTTTAAAAAATGTTGATGCCTGGATCTACCTCCAGAGAGTCTGATTCAATCAGTCGGCTGTGCAGCCTGAACATTAGGATTCTTAAAAGCTCTCTAGGTGATTCAAATCAGGACTTCAAACTGGTTCACTCCA